TTTATGTTTTACTTTTTACATAGGAAAAAAATGCAGTCATGAGAATTTAGTTTTTCCCCTAAATGAATTGTGTCATGGGTCGCAGGTTGGAGGCTTCCCACCCCTGGGTTGACCTCTGGTGGGATTGGTAGTCATTACAACTCACTGAGACACAGTCTAGTATCAACATACCTTTTCTAATTTTTTTTACTCCAGTGCCTGGAACAAAATAAGTACTGAATTAAGTATCAGTTTCAGTTGATTTTCTCTCTCCTGCTCACCCACTCATACGCTCACTCTCTGTCTTTATCTTGTTCTGTTTTTAGATGCGTAGTCACTTAGATAAATGTCTTGTAAGCCACAATAACATTCAGCAAAGTTTCCATCCCTAATATAAACGCGTGCTCGCCCATTCATAGAAAGGCTGAGCAGCACCAGGGTCAAGAAGTTAAGTCACCATTAACCCATTCAGATTAAGTGCAAATGGTAGTTTATGAGACAGATATTCAAGAGCTTATGTGAATGTTTGTGCACTTGTACAAAAGCTCACCAGTGAACTACACGTGGTCTATCCTACATTACAACATCAGCTTTTTGCCGCTGGCTTTTTCCTCAACTGTAAACACTCATTTTGTTTTTGACAGGTCACATTTTAGACTCTAGTGGCTGTTTTTAGTGCCTCTGTTGTTATTTGTTGGGGGGGGGGGGGGGGGGAGACATGTTGGTGCACATGTTGTCATGACACAAAGTTCATTGGTTTTATGAAACAACAGAATAAGACCAGTACTTGGTTATTACACAAAATGCTGGGGAGGTTCTCCTGCAATCATTCAAACTGCACTGGAGGTGAATTGACAGAACAATTTGAATTCGATAAATCTTGCAGTTAAGATGGATTCGTTCATTTCATGTCGGTGTTTGTCGTTCTCTGCTCATAAACCACAACCTTCACATACTTTGCAAACTTAAAATAAATAATGACATGTATTATGATAATTTGCAATATCGACTGAGATGAAAATCATTATCTTGATTTTTGGCAATATTGTCCAGCCATGAAGTTGCATCACTTATATAAAAAAAATGGATTTCTTATTCATACCAGTGAGTTATTGGTATTATTCATACCCTATTAAGCTGTATGATCATAGTACATGCAGCCACTTCCCACCCCTCTATTTACTGCAGTGAGAACTTGACAGTATCTTATAGTAGTGGCACAGCAGGGGGACACATTTCCTACTCGAATAACAGAGCAGAGGTTTTTTCCAGTTTCTGCTGCTGACCATTTGAAAACTTGCTGCTTACTGCACATCACACAGCCGACTGCTGTGCTCGCTGCTGTGTGACTCTGGTGAGACCTTAGCAGGATTAGCGACAGCCACAGCGGCTGTCACCTCCCATCTAAAGGGGACTTTACACACATCCGCAGCCTCTGATGCTGAGCCACTCTGTGAAAGCCACAGATGCATCATACCTGGTGTGGATCTAACATAAAATTCACATGATAAGCACAAGCCCTAAAATACTGTCCATAATTCAAAGAAATCCAGTAATACTAAAGAATTTTAAGTTGTGTGGTTTTAGTCATCACGCTTGGTGTTCCACAACTTAAAGATAGGGTTGGTAATTTGTTTCTGAAACCCTTTTGTCTTATCTGTTGAAATCCTCTTCATGTCCCGATAGCCATCAGTAAATAAAGTTGTCTGAAAAGACAACCAATCATTTAATTCTGACTAAATTAAATCACTGGTGTACCTGTCTGTCATTACCTGGCCTGACATGCACGCACTCAGCCCGTGCTCTCACTGAACATGATTAGTCATCAAGCTGAGAGACATACACCACTGAAGCACAGACAATAGTCAGAAGTTAACGAGCGGGTCATGGAAAAGTCGGCTTCTTGCAGTTGTCAGACAGTGCACGTCCATGTGTCTTGAGCATAGACTGTATATAAAGAGGTCTTGAGGGCGTAGTTTTGTCAAGAGGGATGATGGGAGGGGGTGGGATGTATCAGTTCCATATCGTAGCCTTCTCTTGCTAACTTTTCCAGGATTAAAAACCCTAGCTTTAACTAGTGTGTTCTAAGTGCCAACTAGTGGGATATACAATGAAGCAATTTCACTATAATGAACAAAAATGATGTGTGGAAACTAGGCTTGAAATCATTGTGGACTTTTGCCTTTTAACTTAAGTCTTAATATTATTTGCCATATTAGGTTGTTTTTTTTAAAACATGGTTAGTGTTAAAAAATTAAGAGTTTCAAATTCTCCCTTTACATCTATATTGACAAAATCAATATTGTGAAATATGAATGAATGGGATTGAATATGTTACACAATTTTTGTATTCAAAATAATTAGCTAAAAAGTTACCATTAAGAATGTAAATAAAGTATACAGTTTTAAGTATATTAGAAGATAACACAATGAGACAGGTTTAAGCAATATAATGTAAAACAAGACTTCTGGCACAGTATAATGACACCAGTGAATCACCCAGCCCTAACAAAGTCAGAAATATCAGCAAAAACAACAGTGACAATGTGTTTATCAACCCAACACATGCAGCAAATTGTGGCAACGTTATCTGCTTAAACACATAATTGCATCCAAGGCTAATCTATTGACCAGAGTGATAAACAAAAACTCCTGTGAAAATAACTATCTCCAACTGAGTGGTTTGGGAATGGGGCCCCACCCTGTTTACAACAGCGAGAACAAAAACAAACTCCCTCCAAGGAGCCCTGGCAAATGCAAGTCACACACACTCCAACCAACACAGGCAAACAACAACAACGTCTGAAGATCTACTGGGAGAGAGTGGCCTATCAAACAACAGCCGTCTGCACACAAACAAGGTGTGCATCTCTGTGCTTTCCAGGGGAGTGGATTGAAGAGTGAGAGAAAAAGACAGAGAGAGAAAGCGAGAGTTGGTGTGAAAGTGGAACTGAGTAGAAAGTCAAATACCACTCCCACCACGGTCGCAGGTCAACTGAATCATCAGGAGTCAGGGAAGATACCGTCACCACCTTCCATGAATAGCTCACAAAACCACATCGGTGTGACTTCACTGTGCCAAACCCAGTCGTTTGAGAACGCTTTCCCCTCAATAACCAAGGGAGTCTGACTGAAGAGGTAATGAATCTCAGTTAACAAGGCCATTATCAGTGAAGGAACTACATCATCAGGAGGGACTCAAATCCACCAGGCCCTTACCTCCACTGGCCTTTTTAATGTTGCTATTAACTGCTCAGGTATACTGCTAACAACTGTACCAAAAAGAGCACAAAGATAAAAGTGCCACACGTTTGATTCCGCACTGTACATCATCACGGTAAACAATGAGAGTGTATAAAGGGACACAAGCCCAATTAGCCATCTCCGCTCTTCGCTGTCAAGTGTTTAAACAGCCGGCTAGGATGATAATAGTAACCTGTATACTTTCATCTGTGCTTCAGACTCATCAGCACGCCAGCACCTCTCGCTGCAGCGCTGCACTGCATCTTGGGTAATTACTGCTTCCCAATTACCACCCAGCTGGTAAATATATATCAAATAAACAAGCAACAACCCGTCAATTAGGAGCACCCTTTCATAATGGGGGGTTCAAAATGATGTTTCATGTGCAGACGGAGGAAAGCGGAAAAAGAATGGAAAGCATTTGGTCTTCAAAGTGAACTTGTGTCCGTTATACGCAGTCAAGAGAACATCAGATCATAACAGTTTGTGGGATAAAATAATTAAAACTTGTGCGTGTTTTCGAGGCGATCGCTGGGCACCTCTCATTAAAAGGTGTTTTAATTGCCAACAGGGTGGAATGTACGACATGGTTACCGTGCTGCTCCACCAAGAAACTACTTAAAACTGAAACATGGCCTTTTTCTTCACAGATGAACGAAGACGGACAGTAACAATGTTGAATTCAAAGGCAAAGAGAACAGCTGCAGTAACAGTCTGTCAACAAAATTTGCATTGCTGCTCTCTCGTCGTCTCCATTACTCTCTCCTGTCTCTCCTCGAGCCCATGGAGCTGCCGGCTCAGATCTGAGTACTCTGATGGCTTATCACATAGCGAGCAGCAGGCTAAGCTGGAGTGATGCGCCCAAAAGACATGATCAAAGCGCACCAACTTTTCCACCCAGCGATGATGATGGAAGAGCAGGCTCTGCCATGTTATGTTTCTTATTAGGGCTGGGGCTGCCAACTGAAAACACAGCCAAGGAGTCATGGATGAGGCCCTTAAAGATCTACTCCTGCAACCTTATTTTGCATTACACTGTCTACTACATTTAACAGGGTTTAAGCAGCAGTCTGAGACATTTTCATATTAGTGAGTTGTGCTGCTCTAATTCTCACACTGATAAAGCATAGCAAAGATTTAACATATAGCCAGATTACAAACGCTTTTATTTTGAGGCATCTGGTTTATGATAGGTCTTAAGAAAAAAAACTTGCAAATGAAGAACCAATAAAAAACGATTTGTTTAGTATATGGAAGAACTTGATACATTACACAATCTGCCACCACCGTGGCACAACCACCGTGGCACAACCACCAGGAACGTAATATATTCACTTTGAGCTCATCTTGTGCCACAGATCTAACCACGGTTATTTGACTTATCAAACCACACCACTTGTAATCAAGAAGTAAAGGATGAGTTAAATCTTTAAGAAACCACTTTTGAATCAGGTAAATATCACATCACACATCTGCAGAACGCTCCACCTCCTTTTCAACCAACATACTTTACCACCATGAGAGTTCAGGAACAGTCTCCAACATTAGACTCAAGAACATTAAAATCATCATTCACCATTATTTCTTGACATGCCAGAAGGCAGAAAAAAACAAAACTAAAATGTTTTGCAAAAACACTATCAGGATGTGTGTAAAAATGCAGTCAAGACCACAAAGGGAAGAGATAGAATAACTTACTCGCGGCCAATTATATGTCAGTGTGTGAACATAAACTTTTGAAAACCCTGTAGAGTTCAAACAGACAAAGAATCACTCACAGTTCTGACGTAATCAACTTTCACCAGGGGCTTTTAGTTTGTTCCCAAAGTTGTCAACTTCACTTCCTTTCCATTTTGCCCTGAAACAACAAACAGAACAACATGTTAGTATCATAGTAACAACAAAACCTTGGTCTAAATATTCATTGAGAGGAATTGAAAGCTGTGTCGTCCATCAGGCATCCAAAGGTGCATCGTAAACAAGCGCAGACTGATACACACACTGGACAGCTGATAGAAACAGGTGCCGAGGTTTTCGTCTGGCAGATGAGAGCAGCTTGTAGCATATGGCCGAGCCCCTCGTGTTTGAACCAAAAGACCTGTAGTTTACCTGCATCAATCCCTAAACATACAAGTGTTGTGCTTTTAAAGAAACTCTATTACAAGCCTACAAGAAGCATCTTGTACATACTCAAACATAGTTAAATCATATGAATAAAAATACACTGATTAGGTTATACAGTACAAAAAAATAAACAAGTAGGAAAGGTTAAAAGAAAATGAGACAAAACTTACACTTGCAGTCTTACAAAGACACAATTCATCTTATTAACGATGCAATAATTTTCTAATAAATTAAGTCTTGTTTATTTTATTTTATGCTGAACACATATGTCTGGATATAAATGATTTTTAAAAAGAGTATGTATCTTTTTCACAAGTTAATACTGAATACGTTTTAGGAGTTCCGGAGTTTCACTATGCTCTCGAAAAAAAATCTCAAATCTCGTTGCAAATCAAACCACAATGTAACAACACCTCTTTTAAGCGCTGTTTTTTTTTTGTTCAAAGTCTTTCTTCAGTAAAATCATATGTTTTTCCTGCTGTGTTCTAGAGTATCAGATGGGTATTTACAAGAACACATTTCCTAAATTAAAATACAAGGTAAAATAAATTGATATTAGTCTTAATTTTCTTATTTAACCTGTATATAGGGACTGAGCAAAATATATTTATTGAGTTAATTTTCCCACTGATATCCTGTTGATTTAGGCTGTTGCAAAATATGATCCAGCCCAGACTGTGTGTAAAACAGAGCAATTATTTATTAAATTAAAAAACACGACTTTAATCTAAAATCAGCACACCAATAATTAACTGGCAGATAGAACAGATACTTTGATATTTTCCAACAATGGACAATTTGTATTCCAGTGCTGTATTCCTGAAACACAACATGAGCAGTAAATTCATTTTGTAACTCAACTTAATTGATTGTAATTGCATGCTCCCTCTCTCCCCGTGCAGACGGATGCCATTTTTTGTCAGCATCTCTCCTTTTTATTAAGGACAGACGACAGTAGAAGACAGTAATTAATGACTGTACGAGCTAATGGCTGTCCTGAGCATTTTGCAGTCCCCACAGAGGCTGAGGAAGCTGCACAGAACTCACCTGAAGCTGTCCACCCTCACTGACCAATCGCCTTCCCTGGCACTGAGAGCCGTCTGCCCGGGCACACCACAGGGGCTGGGACACACTAACCTTTACCCTGGAAATATCTGTCTGCTTTTCCTTTTGTTATCACTTTCATTCACTGCCTCTTTCCCTTTCTGCTGTGAATCAAATTAATCAAAAATAATTTGCTAGATAATCCCCTTTTTTCATCTGACACTTGACTTGCTTTTTGCAAAAAACAATGTTACAAGCAACTGGTTAGAGGGTATCTGGTATCTGAAATCAAGTGAAGGGTGAAGCTAGTAAATAAATCGTACATAAATAAAATACGGCAAATGCAGAAGAGTATTCCCACACTGGACCGAAAATAACTCTCCTTATCATTCAGCTGCAAGCAAGGGTGCACAGTCAGTTTACAGCCCCTCCGTACCCAGCACAGGGTATTTCAATGTGTGTTCACAAATACTGAACCGTCAGATGAAAGAGAGGGCCGCTCCACTCAGGGATGGGAGTCCTCACACTGAATGCATGAGTGACTGATTACTTTCTTACCAGTTGAACCTCAACTCTCTACAAAGAAGAGCCTCAGCCTGAGTCTGAAGAGGCCAAACTAGAAACAAGGGCTTTCCAAATAATACAAAATCATAGATTGGTTAGTGTTAAGGATCTTGCATCATTACAACGTATACAGCTGCTCTTCCTCAAATTCAAGCTCTTTTTTTTTTTTACTTTTACTTTCTTCCCTGCCGACTCAATTTATTCACTTGTAGCATGGGGCACAGAAACTACAGTCAGTGTCGTTTCTAGACGTGGGGGGACGGTGTTAGCTTGTTCCCATTAGAATCAGATGAAGGCTGAATGTCTGAAGGTAATAGCCATGTCAAAACAGCAGGCCTGGAGAAAAAAAAAAAAAGAAAGTTGCAAAGAAAGTTCATCCTGCGTTTTAAAACCTGGGTCAGCGTTTGCGAAGGTCCATTTCTGCATAAGTGAGCACACAAACCCCAGTGCCTGTTCAAATAGTCTGCAGCTCTCTCTCAGGCAGCTCATGACAACAGCCCAGCAGCAGCACTGTTTGATCTCCAATGTTTTCCTTAATCTGGGTTGTCAAGGTTCGCTTGTTGGAGGCTGTTTACTTTACTTCTCCTACAAAAAAAGTGTTTTTTTTCCCCCCTTCAGACAATGACTAATCCAAAGACCAAGAAGGAGGGAGCACTGCCAGCAATGGTTGTTAAAGCTGCAGTTTCCCTTTTGTAAAAAATTTCAGATGGTTTAGTCGTGCTGTTGCCAGCTGCCGACTGACTGTGTAAAATATTAGGGTAATATTTTATCCCTAATTGTATGCTATTCACTCTCAGTACACATACATAATTATAATTATTTTATATAAAATATTGTGGAAATATTAATTCTGACTTTAGACATCAAAAACAAATCAGTGTGGATTAAGTATATGAGACGTGTGCTTATGTTAAATCGTAATTTAAAGGCTTCACAGTCAAAAATATGATCATGTTGGTTACTGCATGGTGTTTATTTATTCTGTAATACACCAGCTTTAAAATGCTATAATTAAAACATGGAGTATTTTAAGAATTTTAAATACTTGATTACTCAGCAAACTATTATTAGGACAGTTTAAGAGAACATAAAGTTGATGGAAATAATTTTAAAAAATTAGCTCAACCTTCACCCCTGTATTAAAAACTGCGACTTGTTCATTTGAAAATAAATTGTTTCTTTAGAGTAATAATGAGGTCATCTGCATTTTCAGCTTATTTACGGGAAAGAAAACTTAACTCACAGCACATCTGACTCAATAAAAGCACTCACATCAAACTCTGACTACAGCTCAAATAAAAGCTAATGTTGTAAATAAACGCGTTAAGGTAGAGGTGTGCCTCCACGTTGCTGTGATTTAATCCTGAATTTGTTTGACTTCGAAATGAGAAGTGGAACTCTGAGGTGAATATCGCAGAGCAGACACAAAGCTGCCTCGATGGCGATCAGTGATGGACGGTCAGCGGCGTGGAGGAGAGACCCACGAGCCGGACACACGGTTACATGAAGCGGAGTTAGGCTGATGGTCCTAAGGTGAAAATCTCCCTCCGGTCTGTGGGAGTGTGGCGGACAGCGAACACGTGGGGGTGGGTGTGGGGGTGGGTG